GGAAATGCCAAAAATAACGAATTAATAACGAATTAACGAATTAACGAACGAAACCGCACAGGCCTAGTACGTATAGTAACGAAGAAAGCAGGAAATAGTTCTTCTGGACTGCTCAGTCTGCTTGGGTGTACAACATTGGTACAGAATCAACACATTTGGAAGCAGCAAGGACGAGTGTATGTCTGCACCATCCATTGCTGTTCGCCCACTGTGAGTAGCAATGAGAAAGTTTGCAGCAGAAAACTTTCTTTCTACATAGGGACCACCAAACGCAGCAGTACTGCCCAAACACGAATCAAGGAACATGAAAGGAACTGCAGACTACTTCAACCAGAGAAGTCAGCCATAGCAGAGCACCCGAGGAACCAACCTGGACACAGAACATTTTTGGAGAACACAGAAATGCTGGACCACTCCCACAACCACCATGTCAGGCTACACAGAGAAGCCATTGAAATCCACAAGAAGTGGACAGTTTCAACAGAAAGGAGGAAACCATGAAAATGAACAAAATCTGGCTACCAGTATTAAAAAAACTCTAAAATTATAACAGCAAAACAGAGAGGAAACAAACAAGGACATCTAATCACCTCTCAACAAAAGATTGCTCCAGGCACTGCCAGGCATCAAATGCTAATCAAGGTGGTCAGTTGAAACATTCACACCTAGCTCCAGCAGACAAGAGTCCTTTGTCCCACCTGGTCATTCCACAGATATATAAACCCTTTTTCCTAGTTCCAACAGACCTCACTACCTCTGAGGATGCTTGCCATAGATGCAGGCGAAACGTCAGGAGAGAATGCCTCTAGAACATGGCATTATAGCCCGAAAAAAAACCCCTACAACAACCCAGTGATTCCGGCCATGAAAGCCTTCGACAATACAATGAGCCACTTTTTTAATAACACATGATGTCTTCAACACCTAAGCAAACTAAACAACCTGATACTAATGTCAACAGCAGCATACAAATGCAGAGGCAACCAGGAAGGTTGCCTCTGCCTCTTTTGGCAATCTGATCGAATTGGCTTGGTCTTGAGTCCACAATTTCCCCCAAAGCAGGCACTGAAGGCAGCTCGGTACAAATAGAGAGGAGCAAGTTGGCCCACGCCTGATGTAAAACCAGTCTAGTCGTACTGGACACGAACTGGGAAACACCCCAGAAAGGCTGTCTTGGCACGGTTTCAGTCAATGTAGCTGCATCGCTGGCTGTCTTGTGTTTCCTGTCTTTCTTTATTTATCTTTGTACTTATTTTTCTAAAATCAATATTTCTGAGATCAAGGAACGCCTGATTGTCGCTGGCTTGGTTTATTTATTTATTTTATTTTATTTAAAACATGTATATTCCGCCCTTCTCACCCCAACTCAGGGAACTCAGGGCGGAACACAGCATATACACGGCAAACATTCAATACCGGGACACAGATTCACATGCAATACATAAACATTTTAAAAAATATTATCAAAATATTAAAATACACCATTTAAAACCATCCTAGAATCATAGAAACAAAGAGTGGGAAGAGACCTCCTGGGCCACCATCCAGTCCAACCCCATTCTGCCAAGAAGCAGGAATATTGCATTCAGAGCACCCCTGACAGATGGCCATCCAGCCTCTGTTTAAAAGCTTCCAAAGAAGGAGCCTCCTAGTCATCAGCATCAAATCTAATTGGCCTGGTCATCTTTCCTATTGCTGCTTTATTGACCATCCTTCTAAAGGACAGTAGGGAGGGAGCCGACCTGATCTCACCAGGAAGGGAGTTACATATCCGGGGAGCAATCACCAAGAAGGCCCTGTCTCTTGTGCCTGTGACAATGGCGAGACGGAAAGCAGGGCCTCCCCGGAGGATCTTAATCTCTGCGATGGTTCATAGGGGGAAATGCGTTTGGACAGGTAATTTGGGCTGGGACTGTTTATGGCTTTATAGGCCAAAGCAGGCACTTTGAATTGTGCCCGGTAGCAAACAGGCAGCCAGTGGAACTGGCGTAACATCAGAGTTGTGTGCTCCCTGTATGCCGCCCCACTTCTTAACCTGGCTGCCTCTCGTTGGACTATTTGAAGCTTCCGAGCAGTCTTCAAAGGCAGCCCCACATAGAGAGCAGCAGTCTATCCTAACTAACTAACATGGGAGTTTTATGCTCCCTGTATGCCAACTGGCTGCCTCTCGTTGGACTATTTGAAGCTTCCGAGTAGTCTTCAAAGGCAGCGCCATGTAGAGTGCGTTGCAGTAGTCTATCCTAGATGTAACCAGAGCGTGGACCACCCTGGCCAAGTCTGACTTCCCAAGGTATGGACGCAGCTTGAGAGAGGTTGAGGTGACAGGTGGGCACACAAGAGCCGGACCACAGTTTGTCTTGTCCAGGACCAACCTCACCGTCTCCATCTTTGGCCTGGGGGCTCATTTAGAGAGGGAGGGGCTTCTTTGGGATTAGACCAAAAGGGGAGGGGGTCCCTAGGTAATTTTCAATGGTAAGCAAACAGTATTTTAGCGCACGCCCCCCTCCCCAACCAATCACTGATATATATTTTCTGTTTGTCGTGGGAGTTCTGTGTGCCATATTTGGTTCAATTCCATCATTGGTGGAGTTCAGAATGCTCTTTGATTGTAGGTGGACTATATATACATCCCAGTAACTACAACTCACATATGTCAAGGTCTATTTTCCCCCAAGAGCGCCCCTGGGAAAAATCAACTCTACTGCAAGTGCTTACTTTGCGTAATGGTTGAGCCGCCCCTGGGTCCTCGGCAAATGCACCATCCCGCCCGTCGCAAAGCTGAACCCACACTCTCCCTGCATTTGTCCATATGTAAATAGGGGTGGGGAGGCCTCCTTTGAGAAAGGGTCACACTTCCGTGGTGCTCATTGTCACTTTGCTGCGTTCCCCGTCATCAGGTCCAGAAGAACTCTTTCTGCAACACTGGACAGTGCAACGGAGGAGAAAGCTATGCTCAAGGGGGTGGCCGGGAAGAGGTGGGCGTATTTATTTATTTATTTAAAAGTTTTATATACCGGCCTTCTCACCTCTCTTGAGGGACTCAGACCGGTTTCCAACCATAATATCACATACAGTTAATAAAAACATAATAATTCATTTTACACTAAAACATTAAAACAGCAATTACATTCAATAACTACAATGGTCAGTCGTCACACTAACTGGTTGTTCATCATCCTCCATCCATATCTGGCTCACTCATCGAATGTGTTGCAATCCAGAGCAGGGAACGAGGCCCTAAGATAACTATCCACCACACTTGGCTGTGAAAAACA